CTGCTAAGATAAATTACCATAATATAATGATTGAAGGGAAAATATATGGCGTAATAGAGAGGTCTAAATACCCGTAAGTGGAAAAAAGCATAAACGACCATTTTAATTAATTTCCTAATGTAAAACACAGCTGTAGTAATGTTGGCAAGCCTCACCTGCCCGTTTTAAATTTGTGACATGAAATCATGCCACTTAATTAAGTCTTAATGCACAAAAATATATTTTATTTACTTTTTATGGAATACCAGCATTTAAAGCTTTCTATTTATGTGTATAAGCGCTTTATAAATTACTTGAAATACTGAAAAAATCTGACTACTACTAATCGGCAGTTACAAGTACCAGTTTTAGTTTCAATAATTAAATGCCTTTTTGGTGGACTCCTGCTGCTATGTGAACTAGCTCTAGGCTATTAAAGTAATGAGTCCGGACAGAGTCATCTGATCTCATGGTTGGTGGAAAACTCAAGGAAAAGGGCTTTGCCCACAATTCCTAGTCTGTTTACCAGACTGCAACCAGACTGCCTGCTGGAAGCATTATAAAGCCTCTGGGCTTCCCCTTCCCCCTTCCAGCAAGTACCTTTTTTTTTTCCGCTTTTGCTTTTTACAAGTGTTGTCTCGGAAAATATGGTATTACAGAGCCCTCTGCAGGCCAGAAGTTTTGTAGTGTAGCTTACCAGCATGACTTTTCTTAAAGTGGCAGTAAGAGATGGGAAAAGTATAATTGTCAAAACTTCATAAATCAGATCTCATTAAGAAATATGTTTGTCATAAGGGCAGACTGGCATCAATTCTTCCAGAAGACGCACTGAAAAAGAACATCGGTTAACTTGATTGAGGGATGTTGCCTTGATAGCAAAATTTTGGTGGCCCCTGGTAACTCTTCATAATGGGTTGCAGTGTTAGGGATTATATCATCTTCATCATCATCGTAATTCTTAAAATAATCCATGAAAAATACAGGGCTCTGAACTGTTCACTTAAAAATGCAATTTCTGGCCAGGCATGGTGGCTCAAGCCTGCAATCCCAGCGCTTTGGGAGTCCGAGGGGGTAGGACTGCTTGAGACCAGGAGTTCGACACCAGCCATGTAGTGAGATCATGTCTCTACAAAAATAGAAAAATATTTAAAAAAAAGAATTTCTATCACACCTGGGCTTTAGAAGCCTAGGTATAAGGAAGAATAAATTAGAAGTTAATTATACAAACTCCATGATTTCCTCAGCCAAGTTTTCATTCGAGTGAATGAAGTGTATGCCTAGAAAAATTCAGTGAATTTCTCAAGTGTTTTAGGGAACTTAGTATAAATTTTTACAGGGCATTTTATATGTTTTAAACTTTTTGGATGAAATGGATATAAATCATTACAGAAAGAATGCATATGTAAAGATAAAAATGAGGAAGTGCATTGAAGACAAACAACAAACAAAGTAAGGTCTCATTTTCATTTAGACAGTACTTTTCGAACCACATTTTATGTTGGTTATATTCTTTTTTTATTGGAGACAGAGTCTTAGTCAGTCGCCCAGGCTGGAGTGCAGTGGCACGATCTCAGCTCACTACAACCTCCACCTACCAGGTTCAAGCAATTCTCCTGCCTCATCCTCCTGAGTAGCTGGACTGTAGGTACACACCACCATGTGCGGCTAATTTTTTGTACTTTAGTAGAGATGGGGTTTCACTGTGTTGCCCAGGCTGGTCTTGAACTGCTGAGCTCAGGCAATCTGCCTGCCTCGACCTCCCAAAGTGCTAGGACTACAGGCGTAAGCCACCGCGTCAGGCCTTATAAAATATTCTTAAAGTCAGCAAAATAACCAACAACTTTTAATAGGAAAATTTTTCCTAATATTTTCAAGTCAGCAAAAGTACTAACAGCTTTTAATAGTGGTTTTTTTTTTCATAGTAGTCAAGAGAGTATTAATTTAAAAGAGGAAGCATTTGACCAAAATATTTCCTTTTATTGAGTTTAATCTGTGCCAGGTAACTCATAAACCTCCTGGAGCACCCAGAGATACATGCTTCTAACAACTCACAAAGGTGCCAGAGCCGTCTCCTCAAAGTTCCTCACCCTGGCAGTAAAACATTATGATCAACATTTGCCTAGAAGCTAGGATAAGTAGAAAAAATGGGAAGTGATATGACGATGAAAAGAATCTGATATTGCATATGTTAGAATTTCCTTCCATAGCATTTTAATCATTTAACAGGGTCTCTTTAAGGACCTGAAGGGAGTTATGAGGAGGCCGTGGTCTGGAGGTGAGAACCCAGGCTGTGGTGGTTGGAGGCAGTCTCCAGATGAGCCTCAGCAGCTCCCTGGAGACTCTGGTGACATTCTAAGACCATGCCTTCTGTGGCTGTTTGGCATAACTGACTGCTGCTTTTCCCAAGGACAGCCATTTGGTGTTGGAGGTTTTTCTAGTCTTCTCTACTCAGTGGTATAGACAACACCAGCATGTCCTTAGGGTAATGTCCGCAAGGGCTTGGGTTCCAGTAAAATGACTCTTCCAAATGAAAACCCGAAATTAAAACGTCGAGTTTCCAGATTTGTTGAATTCAGAAACAAGTGCTCTCAGCATGAACTGTCAACAGCCAAAGTTAAAATAGGCCAGCTGGTGGCTCCTGTGGGATCGTCTCCACACACCCTATCCCAACTTTGCAGAGTTGAATGTCAGACATTATTCTATCAGGCCTGGAATCCGCTGCCAGACTCAGCCTCCTTCATCCGGCTTATCTCCTACTGGGAGGCTGTGGCTGACTGGATGGAACTGCACACTTCCCAGCAGATGCTGGGCTGCCAAAGGATGGGAGCACGGCTGGGCTGGCGCCACCAACATTTACAGCCATTCCTCCCGCTCCATTCCCCCTGCAGCCCCCCAGCCCCATCCCACCAATGCCTGCTTACAGACTTGGCACACTAGGAGAGGACAGGTGATGAGGATTAGGCCAAACGTATTTGCATATCCTCAGCACAGGGACGGAAATTAACACCACAGTGACATGATTTAATGGCTAACCTTAAACCCGAGAAAGCCCTGAACCAATTTTTGAGCACTACGAGACTGAGGGAGATGTAAAATGCAACCCATCTGGCAGGGATGGGTTTGTCCAGGGTTAATGGTAGAAACAGAAATGAATTAGTTTGAGTACGAAGTGTTGTTTAACGTTCACTCACAAATTATGAGTGGGCCTTATTCTTGGGCATAAGAAATGCCACCTTTACTGTATTCTTGTGGGATGGGGACGGGGACTGAAAATGATGGGACAGTTTTCATGATCATTTTCTCCTCTGGCAGCCGTATCACAATCTTTTGAGACCGAGTCTTGCTCTGTCACCCAGGCTGGAGTGCAGGGGCGTGATCTCAGCTCACTACAACCTGTCTCCCGGGTTCAAGCAATTCTCTGCCTCAGCCTCCCAAGCAGCTGGAATTACAGGCGCCTGCCACCACGCTCGGCTGATTTTTGTATTTTTAGTAGAGATGGGGTTTCACCATCTTGGCCAGGCTTGTCTTGAACTCCTGACCTCGTGATCCACCTGCCTCGGCCTCCTAAAGTGCTGGGATTACAGGCATGAGCCACCGCGCCCAGCTCACAGTCTTAATAGGCCCTTAAAGACAATGTTGACCATTTGTCTGCAGCCAAATTCAGAAATGCTCTGACAATTAGGCATTTCAAAAATGTTCTGACAATTAGGTATTTCAGAAACTGAACATGTCATACAATTTTTGTTCACTATAATAAGAGCATAAAAACATTTTCACAATCTCTCACAAAGTTAAGTGAATGAGAAAATGAATTAGTACCCATGAAGTATATTTTCATTTTTCTAAAGCTGCTTCTTGTGGGAAAGTCAGAAAAGGGGTTGATTTTTAAAAAATGATTATTTAGACAACTGTGTCATTCTGTAATTTGAAGCAGGCAAGAAGGCAGCTAATGCTCTTTCAATTTGCTGTCATATGAAGGTACCTAGAAAAATGAATGCCATTAAAACTTTCTTCTCATTTTTATGAATCCAATAAGGATTCTCTGGGCAAATCCACATAAAGCTTATTTAATTTGTTTTCTGCTAAGACAATGACGAGTTAGTTTCTCTGTAAGTAAGCACGAGCCTAGCATCCCTTGGAACACAACGGTGACATCCATCATGAACACAGTGCTTTACCAACATAGGGTGACTGACAAATGCCAGACATATATTTTTAAAAATAGGGTTATTCCCTTTAATGCTGCCATCTTAGGGGGATATATGTACTTACTCTGCTGTGCTGCCATTTTATTACTCAAAAATATTTTGGACTTCCTATTGAAAACACCTTTGGAAAATACCTGGACTTCTATGGAAGATCACTAAGGGTGGTAACTATCACTGAGGAGCCAAAGGCCATTTGTAGTCAAGTTTGGAGAATAAAGTAGGTAATTCAGCTCCCAGAACCCCTTGAAGTAAAAACCACACAGCAAAAACTTACCCAAAACAAATAAGGTGAAGCTAAATAGAATCTCAGCCTTTCATGAGATTGGAAATTATCTTTGAAGACCATTCCAAAAAAGCAGCTAAAAACATATTTTGAGCAATGGTAGAGTCATTGAAATAGGTCTGGTAAACATCCCCCAATGGGGTACTTTTTAAAAAGACAACATTCATTTATTTTATTTTTCTAGAGACAGGGTCTTGTTCTGTTGCCAAGGCTGGAGTGCAGTGGCAGTCATAGCTCACTGCAGCCTCTAACTCCTAGGCTCAAGTGATTCTCCTACCTCATCCTCACAAGTAGCTAGGACTACAGGCATGGGTCACCATACCCCACTAATTTTATTTTTAATTTTTTTCTAGAGACAGGCTCTTGCTATGTTGCCCAGCCTGGTCTTGAACTCCCAGCATCAAGGGATCCTCTCGCCTCAGCCTCCCAAAGTGCTGGAATTACAGGCATGAGCCATGTGCCCAGCCCACGGTCAATATTCATTTGGATGTATATGTTCTGGTATGTTGTGTATTATGTGTCTTTTGCAGAGGAAGCAAAATGTCCGTGGGAGGAGTTCTTAAAAATCATGGCAGCCCCTTCTACAACTAGGAATCTCTATTGAGGTCACCTGGATGCAGATCACCTTTCTTCTGGGAAGACACTGGAATCTTACCTCCGTAGTTACAAAGTAAGGTGTACTAAAAACCTTAGAAACCTCACCATGGCCAGCCTGGAGAGTCCCCTCTGGTATGCAGAGCTGAATACTTGGAAGAAGTGAACCACTCTGCATGAGTGATGAGGGAGTCCCCAAAGGGAAGTGATGTTATCATTAGGGCAGGCAGAGTGTGGACAGGCTCAAGATAGACAGGACACCTTGAGGACAGGCTCAAGATGGAGAGGAAGGCTGGTTTGGGAAGAGTGTATGATGAGTTGGAAACTCCTTTGTACCCATCTTCCTGGACACAGTACTTGGGTTTGGGGAAATCATGGCTGAGAGTACAATTATGAAACAAAGCTGTGAACAGAGGCCCACACGAGGATCTACCATGGTGTGAGCCATAAATGGACCTGCAAACCCCCCAAATAGCAGCTAATCCTTGGAACTGGCAGGACATACCTTCAACAGCAACACTGTACAAGAGAGATAGTGAAAAACAGCATTCAGGTCCTGGCTTGCACTTTTTCCTTAGCATCTACAAAACAAGACTGACCTTTTTCACTGAGCAAACCACTGGGTTCTTGGGTAATTTGTGCATGTCAAGAAGACATCAGACTTTCTTCTAAGAACATATAGGTGCTCTACTAATTGGAAAAAGTCACCATATCAGCACTCTAGCCTATTTTTTCATCTCTCATTCATTGCCTTGAATGAGGATGCACAGGAGATCCAGGAGCTGCTCTGTCTCCCCCTTCAGAGTTTCCCAGGATTCCCAGAGGCAGTGGCTCCAGCACTCTCCTGCTCAGCTGGGAATCCCCTGCGGAGCCCCCATCCCAATTTCTTCCCCAAACTTCTGTTTATAGTATTTACTAAAGAAATGAACAAAGAAACTCTCACTATTGGGAAGGCCACTTAGGAACATTAAGAGGATGGGCTTCGAAACCTTTCTGCTGTGATTTTAATCCCAGCTTGATCATCTACTCTCTGTGACAATGGACAAGTTTCTCAACATCTCTGTGCCTTAGTATCTTCATCTGTAAAATGAGGATAATAGTATCTTCCTTATCGTGTTGTTGTAAGCATTAAATGATATAATAAATATAAAGTACTGATAATCGTGTCTGGTACATAGTACTTAACAAGTAGTGAGATTTTAATGCCTCCCTCTGCTTTTTAAAGTAAACTATAAGCCCTTTGTGGGCAGGAGCCTCATAGAATCATCAATCTATATTTCTCATTTGAATAACATCTCACAAGAGATGTTTTTTATATTGCAACACAAAAATATAAAAAAGAACTATGAAGAGAAGTTGCCAAAAATATAATTCATAATGGTAGATGTGGGAATGCTGTTTGGGTAAGGAGTTCTCAGCACCCTTTAAGTCACCCCAAATGCAATTAGTATTCTACAAGAAGGTCAGAGCAAATTCTAGAGGCAAGAATTTCTTTCCCAAATCAATTTTCAGGAACCCTATGATGAAAACTTTTCATTTTACATGTACTTGATAAAATGAAATAATAATTGAATCTACAAGGCCCACATGCAACATGAGGTCATATAACTGTGTCAATATGTTTGTGTTTTATTTGAATAGTTCATTTGTATTTATTTAATTATATATTTACTGAAAAGCAACACAGACTTGTACTACATTGTGCCAAATGGTATGTGATGGCTATACTTAAAATGCTCAGATTATTTTGAACAGAGGGATTTATTTTCTTCTCATAGCTTTTGGAAGTCTGGGCCTATCTGGTTTCAGTTAGGCAATAGTCTTTGGCCAACATTTTCTGGTACATTTGAAACTGTTGAACAATGAAAAGTAGAAACTTTTCATTGCCAGTGCAGCTTAAGCCTAATGCAGATATAAACACATTTAATAGCACTTTATTTAGGTTCAGCTTTATTATTCTTAACTTTCATAGTAATTTTGAATCACATTGCATTAACAAATTTTTATTGGGTTTCCCAATGGAAAGCCAATTGCAGGCAAGGCCTTTTACGACTGGGATGTCGCAGTCAATCTTAGATTTACCTTCTAACAAAGAAGAAAACACAATTCTTCAAAGCTTGCTTGTGTTAAGTTCTGATATAGTATGCTCTGAAGGACACTAGTTCTTTGCTTTGTTCTTTGCTAGTGCCCTTCCTAGGTATTGTACAAGTACCTTTCTTAAACATCTTTGAGTTACAGCCTTCTAACAGAGCAAGCACATGGATGGAGCTGGAGGCCATTATCTTCAGCAAAGTCACGCAGGAACAGAAAAGCAAATACTGCATGTTCTCACTCCTAAGTGGGAGCTAAATGATGAGAACACATGGACACATACAGGGTAATAATACACACTGGGGCCTGTCAGAGGGCGGAGGGTGGAAGGAGGGAGAGGATCAGGAAAAATAACTAATGGATGCTAGGCTTAGTACCTGGATGACGAAACAATCTGTACAACAAACCCCCAACACACTTTACCTGTGTAACAAATCCACATATGTACATATGAAAATATGTACCCCTGGACTTAAAAAAAGAGCACATGGCAGTTGGCGACGGGAAGGGCAGGGACGATGCTTACCTACAGGCTCAAAATCTAACCTGGGCAAGAGGGGCATGTTCAAGATTTGATTTTAACTGGCAACTCACTTTTCTTGGCAACTGAAAGTATTCTAAGCAACTTATTCCTCTGGAGTCCTCTTCAAAACTTATAAATAAAGCAGTCTTCTAGGAGCCAGCTCCTTGAGAGGAGCTGCTATATTCTGGTTTCTGATTTATTTAGTGGTTAAAATATTTCCCTGTGATTTACGGTAGGGTGGCTCCAGTGGGCAGCCAAGCATTGCCCAGTGGCCTGTGGCATACCCACAGCATATTGGGTGCTATGGCCAGCAGGGGGAGGGAGCAGAAGTGGCGGCCACCCTGAAAGATCTGGTGGCCAGCAGGCCAGGGAGTGTGTCCAGCAGCCCTGTGGAGGAGATCCAGGCTCCCAGAAGGAAGTGAGGGTCAGCCTGGAATCTTCAATGAAAACCTTCACTACAGGGTACACTACAGAATAACCACTTTTACTAAATATTACCCTAACCACAAAGAAGTTACTTAGTTTGCCAGTTACAAGCACTTTAGCTTATTGACTGTAAGCAGAAGTTTGTAGGTAGGAGAGTACATACAGTACCTAAGAATGTGAGTTTAGGCATGAGCTGTGTGACTCTGGGCAAAAGATTTAATCTCTCGGGTAAAATTTCTCATGGGTAAAATGAGGTTTATCCCATCTGTACATGAGGAATGCTATCAGGATTAAGTGATTAAGCTGTTGCAAAGTGCAGAGTAAAGCCAAATAATAAATGGCAGTATTATTATTCCTAAGAAAATATAATAGCAATTTTTTAAAATGCATGTAATACATGTGGGAAAAAAAAGCCTAGAAAGATATACCCCAAAATATCAACAGTGGTTATCTCTGGGGAACAAAATTATAGGAGAATATATTTCCTTCTCTATCCCTTCCTCCATATTTTCTGCATTTCCTTTTTTTTTTTTTTGAGACCGAGTCTCGCTCTGTCGCCCAGGCTGGAGTGCAGTGGCGCGATCTTGGCTCACTGCAAGCTCTGCCTCCCGGGTTCACGCTATTCTCCTGTCTCAGCCTCTCGAGTAGCTGGGACTACAGGCGCCCGCCACCATGCTTGGCTAATTTTTTGTATTTTTAGTAGAGATGTGGTTTCACCGTGTTAGCCAGGATGGTCTGGATCTCCTGACCTCATGATCCACCCGCCTCGGCCTCCCAAAGTGCTGGGATTACAGGCGTGAACCACCGTGCCCGGCCAATTTTCTACATTTTCTATAATGAACATATATTACTTTTTGGTCAGAACAAAGTTATTACAATACTAAAATGTATCTTACATGAAAATATAAAGAAAATGGCTATGAAGAACAAGATGAGAAAATGTTATTGCAAACCTGACCACTGTTTTCCCTGACAGTATTTCTGGAACATTCCAACCTTGTCCTCCTTTTCTCCCAAGAACACATTGCAAGTGGTCACACTAAGGTTAATGAAAACAGGCACATTTATAGCATACAAAAAGGCAATACAACACAAGTATGTTCACTTTTTGATGGTTTTATTGGTTTTGTGATATATTTTTTTAAAAGGAAAGATTAAACTTTTCTTCATAAAAAAATGGTTCAAATAGTTATTTTTAGACACTGTCATAAAAACTTAAAATTGTAGGTTTTTGCTCTACCACTAAGAAAACGTTCATATAATCTAAATTTCGTATTATTTTAAGAAACTATATTTACATCTTACCACTATAGCCCAAATATTCCAAATAATTTTCTCCTATAGTCTGACAGCCATTTTTTTTCTTAAAAAGGAAGAGATAAGTTGACAAAACGATATGCTAAATATAACACAGCCATCAGCAGGGCAGTGGTATTATATGAACAGTAATTGAAGTTTTCGATCACTTTGCTATCAGAAAAAAAGCCAGTATTAAAAATAACATTTTTACTGAATGTGAAACCAGATCTAAGTAGATTAAATGACTTGTCCAAGTCCTTTCTGTAAATTTGTGGCAAAGGAGAATTTCTCAGTGGAGTAATTACATCTTTGCCTTCTGGAAGGCCATCTACAATGAGATTTCATGTAGAGCAAGGGTTAGCAAACTTTTTCTGTAAAGGGTCGGACAGGAAATATTTTAGGCTTTGTGGGCCGAGAGTTTCTGCTGCAATGACTTCACTCTTGTGAAAGTGTGAAAGCAGCCATAGACAATTCATACATAAATGAATATGGCTGTGTTTCAATAAAACTTTATTTACAAAAACAGGTGGAGGGCCAGATTTGGCTCACAAGTCATAGCTGCTGGTGTGGAGGAACCTAACTGTTGAATTATAAAACCATTCTTTAAAACCTCTATCCTAAAAAAACAAAACAACAAAACAGAAAGACACAGGACTATTATATTATAAGAATAAACTCGCAGGTGGGAATTTGGGATACCTTGGCACAGCAATGTGTGTGTTTGCACATGATGGCAA